TTGAATTCTCTTATAATGATATTACCTACTAAATGCTAGAGGTTAAGATCAATATGTGGGATTTCAAGTTGAGTAAAAAGAAGAGTTTTGAATTTCTAATGGTGGGGGTACTTCTAATTTTCTAAGACTAGTCAATAGGAAAGTCCTATGGCTAGACCTAGGCTACTAAAGAAGTTTTTCTAGACCTCAACCAAAAGTGAGGTCAACAGAACTCAACTTAAGAGTCACTTATCTAGCCGAGCTCTAATCGGGTTGAATGACATTATTTTTTTGTTGCAATTCTTTAAATTTATGAATCACTTATTATTGCTTAATACAACCAAATTATCTTTAGAAATAAGCATGGTAGTCGCTTAATCTTGAAATGTGATTAAATAAATAAAATTACGGGTTGAACGAGCAAACCAAGTCGACAGTGCAAGGACGCGTAACCGAACGAGCATATGAGAGCATTGGCACGTGCAAATGCACAATTGACTCCGCCCGCCAATGAGTTGCCTTCTTCTTTAACAAGGGGACACACAAGAACTCAATGATTGGCACCATACAAAATAAGTGATTAATACAACACAACAATTGAAACATTAATATAGTTAAGGAGATTCATATACATACCAACCAAATCTGATATATTATCATATTTAACATTCTACTGGGGTGTTTGGTAGCATAGTTTTAATAGGATTTAGTCATGAATTTAAAGTAAATCCAACCAATCATCAAAAAAATGAAAACTAAATCCAACTCTCCATTAAGTCGAATTTTTTCGCGTTTTGACTCTTCTTCTTGCGTTCTATCTAGTTTGTAACGTAAATCCAGATTTACTAAATTCTATTATGAGATGGGTTTAAGGATTTATTTCATCCTGTTGCGACCGTCAGCTTCATTGTCGTCTTAGTTGTATACTGAAAAAACAATATATGCATGAATCTCGAGGAGATCTGATGACGCAAACAGGACAAGACGTGTCAAATAAAAACCCGCAAATAAAAAGATTTATCTCTTTTAGATCATTCTACAACTTGACAGCACTAAAAAACAAAGAAAATACGAACATCAATTATAAGAAGTTTTTACAATTTTTGTTCCTACCTTAGAAAATCAACATGCAACTAGAAATAAATTCTTGCACAATTCTAACATTTCACACGCATCAAAACACTTTCACATAGCAACAAGCACTAAGCCTACATATTTAGTTTTGAACATAAGCAATACAATTACTAAAAGAAATATGAATGCAATTAATAATGCGACGCAACACTATACATAGACATTATTTGTTCACTCCACCCACTCGATAAATTATAGCTACAACATTCTAATTTTAGCCAACTCCAACACCAAACCATTTGCTTGTATAACACCGTATTCTTATTTATTTGCATATCTAAAACACACACACAACGTCACACAATTGAATATTGTTTTTTGTTTTTTAAAAAAATTTGAAGTTGTCAGCTTGTCTATTTATATGTCGTCATTGTATAATTATTCTTTCTAAGTAAAACTTTCTTTTGGATTATATAAATGATCTGAAGAGGAGAGAAATTAGAAAAGATGAGATATAAGGAAAAAATAGACAAATAAATTTTAAAAAGAAATGTTGAAGGCTTATGCGGGACAATCCTCGTGCGATAAGTCAAGAATATACGTCTGAACAAAATTGGATCAAAATACATTGAAATACGGTATCCATGAAGAAAATCGCTACATAAGCCCAACATAATCAGAGAACCAAAAAGAATATTTCTGTTTTGGGATCACGAGCACACCTAAAGAAACGTATCCATTTGGTTAATTACATCTTAGGGTATACCACCCAAAAATAGTCTCGATAGAAGGATTCATGCTTACATTATCATTTTGGTAAATAGGTCACCAAAAAAATGGTTATTTCATAAGAACATATCGATGCTTTCAAAGCTCTCGCTAAATCACATGACATAATGAATCTCTCACAACCCAAATGTGTAGTGGCTCATTGGCATATGTGGCCCACGAAATAATCAAGTCGACTCTTACGATCCACACTATAATTCCAAGGCATAGCTGAGCCCTAAGGGTAGAAGGTGAATCACCGAATTCCAAATGGGTGGCGGTCTATCCGCAATAGAGGGCTATGAGACTACATCAACGAAGTCACAAAAGGACGACATTGCTAAAATGGCTCAACAAAAGAATTATAGTAATTTTAATTGGGTAGAGATAGTCAGGTCATGATACAATGGATCCATCATCCCAAGCTATTAGAACCCTAAGTCTATCTGATTGTTAAAGTAGTCGACACAACAGAGCCAGACTCCTTGTCGGCAATCCGTGAATTGTGTTATCCTATGGAGTCTCGATAGCTCTAAGGTCAAAAGAAGACAACTCTAAATCCTATGACCCTAGAAAGGTAGAGCTCACAGAAGTGATACTTATGCTTTCCAAATAAATTACAAAAAAGTCACCGACAAGAAAAGAAAAGAGTAGGCTAGCTACATAGCTAAAAACACTCCCATAAATTACTTATATCTCGTCTGGATCGAGGAAGCCTCTAACACCTAACCTTGCTAGACAACCACCTAAGTATAAAACTTATGTTGGCTCGGTCGGTTTAAAGAAGCACAAAGTACTTCTCCTCGGGACATGCAATATGATGAAATTATCTAAAGTTCAAAGAGTGGAGTCCTTATTAAAGATGACTTGGGAGAAAATAATGATATGCAAGCCATTTTAAAACCAACCAGAGGTCATGCAGAAAAGTAGGGTGCAGGTTTTAAATAATTGAATATTTTAAACCTAAATTTTGATTACTCTTAATATTCTATTAGGATTTTTATAAAAGAATTATAAATTATGGTTCTTAATGAGCCTAAATTATAAATCACAGGATGCTCATAAAAACTACAATTAAAGAAAGACAATTGGCAAGAACGTTGGGCAAGGTAAAAACAAGTCAAGTGAATAAAACAATAATAAAGACTGGGTGTCGCTGGATCGACAACATATCTCAGAAAAATAAAAGATTGTGATCAGGCTATGCATATGCACACCTGAACCTAGATCTATACATAAATATCAAAATGAGAAATTAGGATACGGGACTCGAGCGTTTGCTCATGATCCTCATCACGTGGTTCAATGCCTCAAGCGCCTTGGAACCTGTGGACATGACTCCCTACAAGAAGACTGTCTTTAATATACTATTGTGCATGTCTCACACCCAGTAAACACACAAAGACAACACATAAAAAAGATGTATGGTTATGTCACAAAACAACAAGGAATAATAGTCAGACATCGAAAAGACTACCTAAGCACCCTAGTCTTAACATAGCACACCATGTAGCGCACAGTGTCCTAGTCACAATACCTAAGTGTGTGCACAATGTAGGGGTAAAGTCTAGGGGTATGACTTTTACAGGGTCACCAAACCGGCCCTATATTAAAGATCCAAAAGATCTAAAATACGACACTAAGGGTTGACATTTAAAAGAAGAGGCCTCGCATATTGTCTAACTTATTTATTTCTAAAGTAAGACGAATAATATATATAAGAAATAAATTTTTTTTATACTTTTAAAATATATAACCATTAAATGTGGGTTCGTAATATGCAAGTGACGTACTTTAGAGTCCTTGAAGCCTTAGCGCAGTCATACACAAGTTGTTCATAATACAAAAACTCGCATTGTCCTCTGAGGTATGGTTCAAGCAATGCTTTTTTAAGTATTATGATGAACAAACAGATTAATCACCTAATAAGTAGGATTTGTCGCCAAGACAATTGTGCGATGCACATACAACATGCAAGAAACCCATCACATTGTGATCATTCGACCAATGTACGAACAATCACAACGAACACCAAAGAGGCGGATCACACATCATGCAAATGCGAATGCAAGAATGCCAAAATATGTTCTAATTCCTACAAGTATTTTTGAGTGGTATGTGTGTAATATTAAATAATTGGGTGTTAAATATATTAATAAGGAGCCATTATCATTCAGATAATTTTTTGTACCAAATCATTGAGAATTTTATTCACGTATCTCACACCTCAAAGTTTAATTTTACAAGATTCACTCTTCTGTTAACGATTTCATTTTCAATATTTCTTTCTGCAGCGATCTCACAAACACACTCTTTCTCTCTCCCTCATGACAGCCTATCGTCCGCCTCCAACGACGACCCACGCTCCACTGAACCGCTCCTCTACCTCCAAGTTTTCCGCACTGAAAACCACATAAATCCTCCCTATTCTCTTCATTCTCACCAAGCAACTGTTGTCATCACTACTCTCTAGCTTCACCCATAACCCGCACTAGAGCTCCTCCTTCTCGAGCACACATATCATGCATCTCCTTTCTGCTAATTATCTGGCAACACCGACATCTCCTCTCTCCGACAACTCAAACTCAAGCTGCTTCTCTTCTCTCCGGCGACCCCAGCTCCCGACGCTAATACCTTTTCCTCCATCCCCATTTCTCTTCTTTTCTTCTCATAAATCTAAGTCAAAAGTTGAGACTCATCTCTTCTTTCCCCCTCTCTCATTCAAGAACCAAAAACCATGCAACTTTGATTCCCCTTCATTACATCTGGACCTATCTTCTTCTTAGTGTCTCACACAAAACCTCATTGTAGGTTTTGTTAGGCTTGCAACAAATTGAAGGTGATGTTATGATTTGAATTTGAACTTTGAGCGCGCGGAGAAGGAGATTTTGGAGACAAAAGTGTTAACAAAAGTGTTGATTTTATAATATTAAACTTTGTGATACTAGATACCTTAATAATATTATTTTAGATGCTATGTATGTAAAAATCTCTTTATAAGTTTAGATTTTATCATATATTTGTGTGTCGCAAAAAAAAAAAAAGTTCAAAAATTAGTCTAAATCTGTAAATATCAAGTGTTTAATTGTTTCTTAATAGTTTTACGTCAGGACTTCAATCATAATCTGTCACATATATAAAAGACCCCAATTTAATATATGAGTGGGCTGGGCCTCCTTCCCTTTACAATGATTTTCCGAATTTATTTTCGAGCTGGATGATTGGATTACATTCATCCAGTAAACTGCACTAAACCAAGAACGGAATCAAATGTCGGAACAGCCACAGAATCCTACCTCCTCGGTGAAGAAAACTCCGAGAATTCAGCCTGAATCCCTCCGGCCACCTGAATTTTCCGCCGGAGATTCAGCGGAGGCGGCCTGGAAGGCCGGAAAGTTCCCAAACCCGCCGGACCCGTTTAACCCTGATCCAGTGACTCTTCGCGATCAATGGCGGTTCGCCATACGGCAATACAGTCGTTGGTATTCTCAAGCTTGGGGAACCGCCATCCTCGCCGGTATCTCCTTTTTCGCCCTAGGTTGGATCATCAAGGGCTCCAATCCCCTCCCTTCCCTTTCTCGGCAACCAACTCATGGCGAAAACACTCCGCCGACTTCTACCGCCGAAGGTACTAACGTGGAAAACTGAAAGACAGGTGAGACCTCTTTGTCGTTCTCCATTTTATGGATCGTATGTTTGAATTTTTTTTCTTTGTTTTTCTCTGATTCCATATCAGATTGGGGTTAGGGTTGATGATTTTACCAATATTGTTGGGTTAGGGTTTTTTTAATCTTCTATTTGTGTGAAACCCTTTAACTAGAATGAAGCTGGACTCTTAAACTGCGCTTTCAATGATATCTGATTTTTTGAAGTGTAACTGGTACCTTCATCAGTTATTGGGCTATATGGTAACTAGATTTTTAATCACTGGTAAGTTGTATAGGAATTATTCATCTAGCCATTCACTCTTTTGATGATGAAACCTTAGCTAAGAAAAAATAAGCATGGTGATTTTTGTATCAATGGACAACGGATTCTGCATGGCACACTAGAAGCTTTTGAACCATCTTCTATTCTCTGAATCCATTTCTTTATAATCTTCATTCCGGATTGCCAGTTAAATCAAGTTTTTTTATCGTTCTTTTCAGCTACAAGGGATGAGCCTTTCTTGTTTTGCCTTATTTTAAGTTGGTTGTACAGTTTATGATTTTCTCATTGAAGTGTGCTCATAGAAATTTCAACCTTCATTTTTTCTCTGTTACTTTTCTAGGCTTTTACATTTTCACTGAAGAATAGAGCTCACATTGTTACTGTTATATGCTTTACATTTTGAGTTGAAGAGAAGAGCTCAGACAACGCTGACTATGAACCAGCACTTGATCAGCAAGTTTGATGAACTGATCATTATATCTTCTCATCTCTGTTAGGCCATCATGGAAGTTTTTGTAAGATTTATGCCAAGTAGTTGGGAATGAGATAATGGCAATGATGATGATGATGATTTTGTAAGATTGACAAATGACAGTTTTAAGATATATGCTGATAATTGTGAATCTAGTATTATATGGTAGTTGGAGCAAGGAAGAACTTTGTATGCGAGTCATTTATGTTATGCTGGTTTTGTTTCCTTTTTTCTTTTTCCTTTCTTAGAGCAGGATTAGCACTCGAGCTCAGTACCTTGGGAATAGTTGTAAGTTCATGGATTTGCATTTCCAACCAATGTTTTCTGGTTGTAAATAGTTTTAAGTTCATGGATTTGCATTTATAATAAAGTTAATTTTACTGTTGCGTTCTGTTTCCTATTAGTAAACAGTTTTAAGTTGATTTTACAACTTCAAAACCAATATAAAGTGAGTTATTATAAAAAGGTGGAACACCTATTTAGTTCTTAGAAGAGTAAGAAAGTAAATTGGGATGAAAAGTAGGGACTATCTGTGCAGCAGTTTGTTAACCATTGAAATAAATTCTGTAAATAGTTTTCTTTCTTCTTGTAATGTAATTTAGATTGGTTGGTCGCATCCTTTAGCAAATGCATGCTTGATGTATTATACGGCTTGGTGCTACCTTTGAACCAACAATGTGAATCAGCTGTAGAAGTAGGTGCATGCTATATGTACATAGAGCACACCATGGCAGCACATGCTATTTCTTTTTGAAGAAATATAAGAGAATTTATTCTTATTGATGTAAAGAGGATTATAAATACCCATTACAGGATTTACTGGTAAGGAAAGCAATAAAAGCAGGATACAGTGGACAAGGAAAGGAATAATAACAAATATAAGAGTCAGCTAATCTCCCTAATTATGGAGAAAATAAAAGTGATTCCTAAGATCACTCATACAATTAATAACCCTCTAAATATATAGTATAATAAATATGGAATATAATCCTAATTATTTTCAAGATCTTTCAACACTCGCCCTCAAGCTGGCATGAAGATGTCACTCATGGCGAGCTTGCTAATTAGATTCTCGTGTTGCACTTTGGAAAGACCTTTTGTTAGTATATCTGTTGTTTGGCTAGCAATGGGCATGTAGGACATACATATCACACCACTATCTATCTTCTCCTTGATGAAATGTTTATCAACTTCTACATATTTTGTTCTATCATGTAGAATTGGATTATGAGATATAGAGATTGCAACATTGTTGTCACAGTAAACTTTAATAGGTGTTGGTATAGGAATCGTCAACTCTTCTAGGAGTCTTTTTATCCATAATACTTCACAGAGTCCATGTGCCACCGAGCGAAATTCTGCTTCAGCACTTCTTGCCACCACACTTTGTTTTTTACTTTTTCAAGTAACCAGAGTTCCGCCTACAAAGGTACATTAACCTGATGTGGATCTTCTATCATTTATATCTCCTGCCCAATTTGCATCTGTGTAGACCTCTATTAGAAGATGTTCTCCCTTTTTGAATAAAATTCCTTTTCCAGGAGTTCTTTTGAGGTATCTCAAAATTCTGAATGCAATTTCGAAGTGAGTAGGTCCAAGTGAATGCATGAATTGACTCACAACACTCACTGCAAAGGCTATGTCAAGTCGAGTGTGAGCCAAATAGATTAGTCGCCCTACTAATCTTTGATAGCATACTTTGTCCATTATCTCATTAATTGTTGTTGTTTTCAACTTTATATTAGGTTCAATTGGCATATCTGCTGCTTTGCACCTGTCATTCCTGTTTCTTTGAGTAAATAAGGACATACTTTCATTGATTGACAAAAATTCTCTCCTTGGATCTTGCAAACTCCATTTCGAGGAAATATTTCAGCTTGAGGAAATGAAATATTTCAGCTTTCCCAAGTCCTTAATATCAAATTCGGCTTCAAGTTTCCTCTTCAAGTTGCTAATCTCCAGAGAATCATCCCCTGTCATGATTATGTCATCTACATATACAATCACAATGGCTGCTTTACCATTGATGAAATATTTGAAAAGAGAGTGTGATCAGCTTGGTTTTGAGAGAATTCATGTCTCTTGATAACATCACCAGAATGCTTAAACCAAGCTTCAGGAGACTGCTTTAACCCATACAGAGATTTTTTTAATCTGCACACTTGACCTTTTTCAAATTTTACTTTAAATTCGGGTGGCAGATCCAATATACTTCTCACAATTCTTCATTTAAAAATGCACTCTTTACATCAAATTGACGAAGTGGCCAGTTGAAGTTAACTGCAAGAGAAATAAATACTCTAATAGAGTTAATTTTAGCACCAGGAGCTAACATCTCTTGCTAATCAATACCATGAGTTTGAGTAAATCCTTTTGCTACTAGTCTTGTTTTGTATCTCTCCACACTTCCATCAGCATTAAACTTCACTGTGAACACCCATTTGCACCCAACTGTCTTTTTGTCTTTAGGTAGATCAATGACTGTCCAAGTGTTATTTCTCTTAAGAGCATTTATTTCTTCCATCACAGCTAATCTCCAACTCGGCTCACCTAATGCTTCCTGAACAGTTCTTAGAACAAGCATATTAGAAATCCTAGACATAAATGCTCTATGATTTTTTGATAGTTTTTCATATGACAAGTATTGTGTTATAGGATGTTTCATGCTTGTTCGGATTCCTTTTCTGAAAGCAATTGGAAGATCAAGATCAGAAGAAGTGGAAGTAGAGGAAAGGTTACTCTGAGTTGTAGGGTCATGGCAAAGGTGATTGAACATTTGCTGAGGGAATAACTGGGGTTGTAATAACTTTATGGAATTTCTTCCTAGTATAAACCTGCAGCTCATGTTGAGGATTATGATCCACTGGATTATGACTTGTTGGAATTACTTTTCCACCTCTCTCCTGATAAGGTAACATCTGACAAAATAGGATTAGTAGTGTTGACCCTAGTTTCCATATCAGAATTAGTTAAAGAAATGTGTAAAATTTCCCAAAAATTATTTTCTTCAACTAAGTTCTCCCCCTGAAGAAAATCATTTTGAAAAAAAAGTGATCCTCGACAAACTTGACATACATGTTCTCAAAAAAATTTTTTGTGACAAGATTAAAACATTTGTATCCACATTTATTAGAAGTATACCCAATAAAAACACATTTTTCAGCTTTGGGATCAAGTTTTGTGCGAAACACATTTGGGATATGCACATAGCAAACACATCAAAAAACCTTTAAAGGGATATTAGCTGTTATCTTAGATGTGGAAAAATAATTTTTCAAGACTTGTAAAGGTGTTAAATTTCATAACTCGAGATTACATTTTGTTTATTAAATAACAAGAGGTAAGAAGTGCATTATCCCAAAGATATTTACGAACATTCATGGAAAACATGTGTCCGGGGTAACTTCAAGTAAATGTCTATTTTTCCTTTCAGCAATATCATTTTGTTGTGGTGTGCACGACAAGTGGATTGATGAGTTGTTTTATTCACAGAATCAGTTTCATCATATTTGTACAACCCATTTATTTCTCTAGCAGTTCCAATCATCTTCCCCAAGTTTCGGTCCTAAAAAACACAATTGGAAGGAGAAAAAAGAATGGAATAATCATAATCATTAGACAATTTGCTAACGGAAAGAAGATTACATGTAAGTTTTGGAACATGTAAGACAGATTTTAAAGAGATTTTTTTCTGAAATTTTAATATTTCTTTTTCTTGCTATAGGTGAAAAACTGCAATCAGCTATTCTGATTTTTTTGGAACCGGAACATGGATAATACAAATTAATTAATTGAGAACAGCTTGTCATATGATCATATGCTCCTGAATCAATAATCAAAGGAGTGGTACTTCCTAGAACAAATAAAGTCAAAGGATTACTACATGTTTGTGCTATAGAACCGATAGGAGCATTAGACGATGAGCAAGATTTTAACAGTTTAAGAAGATGACTTAATTACTCTTTACTAATCTGGGATGACAAAGCCTTATTTGTTGTAGGTGTGCAATGTTTACCAGATTTTTTTTATCTTATCATTAGGTGGTTTACCATTCAAGTTCCAACATTTTTCGTGAGTATGGCGTGGTTTTCCATAGTAGCCACATTACAGGTTTTTTTTGTATTTTACATGCTGGTTGTGAAAAATTTTCCTGCTTACTTGAGCTTTAGGAATAGCCATCCGTAATCCTTCCACGGACACAATTGAACCTGCAGTCTTCTTCCCTAACATCACGTGTCTCCGACTCTCTTCTCTTCTTACCTCCGCAAAAACTTCACCAATTGGAGGCAAGGGATTTCTTCCAATTAGACGGTTACTGATCTCATCATATTCATCATTTAGACGTGCAAGAAATTTGAAGATTCAGCCAGTATCCACTATCTTCTTGTACTGGTTGTAGTTATCGTTTGATCTCCACTCATTGATCTCCACTCATGATCCTACCAAATCCGCTTAAGAGAATTGAAATATTTTGTCACAGAATCCTCGTCTTGGCAAATTTCCCCAAGTCATAGAGTCAACTCGTAAACTTGAGATTGATTTCCAAGATCAGATTGCATTTCTAAAACATTGTCCCATAATTCATTAGTTGTAGAGTAACATAGGTAATTTGCATTTATCTCTTCAGTCATGGAATTGACCAACCATGTTATTACCATTGAATTTTCTGTAACCCAAATGACATAAGTTATTTCATTCACATCAGACTGCTTAGTATCACCTGTGATATAGCCAATATTTTCTCTTCCTCAGAGATACATGCGAACAGATTGTAACCATCATAGAAAATTATCACCATATAGTTGCATTGTAGTGATCTGAATGGGATGGTTTTCAGATGTATTCCTTTAAGGTTCAAACTGAGATGACTGAAGAGGCTGGCTTGTCCTAGGCGTGATTTCAAACATTTTAGAGATGAAGAACGAAGCGTGCAGCAGGATCCCGAAATTCGCCTGCCGAAGCAAAAGATTACCGCCTTTGCCGTCGAAAGGACTTCGAGATACGGAATTGCTTTGTCAACCACACTCGCAATCCTTGTCAGCGAGACATGATCCTCTAGTTGCTTCGCGACGACGGGGCAAAAGAAAGGAAAAGCAGAGTTCCGGGTCTCTGCGCCAATCACGATCTCGACTAGTAGTTGTATCGATCGCTGCCGCAAGCTCTAGAGTTTAGCTATCTTGCTCAAAGGAAGACGGCGCTGCGGATCAGACGCTATTGTAGCCGCTGCATGCTCTAGGGTTTAGCGATCTTGCTCGGAGGAAGACGCCCCTGCGGATCGGAAGCTTTAATACCATGAAGAAATATAAGATGACTTGTTATTATTGATGCAAAGAGGGGTATAAATACCTATAAATACCCCCATTACAGGATTTACTGGTAAGGAAAGCAATAAAAACAGGATGCAGTGGACAAGTAAAGGAATAATAACAAATATAAGAGGCAGCTAATCTCCCTAATTAAGGAGAAGATAAATAGTGATTCATAAGATCACTCATACAATTCATAATCATCTAAATATAGAGGATAACAAATCTGGAATATAATCTTAATTATTTTCGAGATCTTTCAACACTTTTATCTCCAGAAATGATCTAATTTTGAGCAATCCAACCCTAGCTCGAGAACAGCTGAAACATATATAACCTGTTCCAGGTTTGCTTGTGGATGAAATAGATTTGATTTTGAGCTAGCTCGGCTCAAATCAGGTATTTTTAGAGTCTATTTGAATTTGAATCAAGTCAATCAATATCATGTATTTTCCCTTTATAAATTTTTAAAAAATGTTTGGGAAATTTACATATTCAGCACACAATTCTTATGTATTTTTATATTTCACACGGAAAATTTTATATTTACAGATATTGCACTTTGGTGCTTTCAACCTAGTCATGAAAATGTGTATTTCACTTGAAAAAGTAGTAATAATGCTATTTTTGATGTGATATTAAAGATTCAAGTGTTATGCTTGTAAATATGAAAGTTTAAATGTGAAATATGTAAATACATAAGAATTGTGTGCTATGTTTGTCAATTCCCCAAAATATTTTATATGCTTGTATGTATATTTATAATACCGATATGCATACATACTAGTGTATATATTGTATTAATAAATACATGTATTATTTATGTCTCGAGCTGATCTTGGGTTGACTTGATTCAATCTTGCTCCATCTTGAAACCAGCTCAAAGATTTGTCTGAGCTCAAAATTTGTCATGTGGCTTAACTTGTTTTGATCTGGCTTCTGTTCTCCCTATTTCTTTTTATGCAACTTCTCCTTCGTTTCTAAGATCAAAGGAGCAATAGGATGCAACAGAATCGAGCAATGACTCTAGCTGCATTCTTTTTCTTCGGCAACTGCAGAGCTTCTTCTTGTTTCAGAATTTCATTGGTTTTCTTCTTTCCTCTCAAGCTTCTCAGCTTCCTGTTTATGGAATCATAATTCATAAATATATGCATCCTTCTTGACTACCATATATAAGGATTGCTTCTGTTGGGAGGACACATTTTTCATCAATCTTCATTTTCCTTGATATTACCATTTATATGTTGTGCATACTCTTCTGAAATCAGTATCTGTGTTCTCCTGTTTCTCTTCTTCCATCTAAAAAAAAATATTTGAAAAAAAAAATTTACTTCTTCTTAACAAATTTAAAGTGGAGGAATGCTTAAAAGTACCGCTAAGACTGAAAGGAAAATTTTATAAGACCGTGGTGAGACTTGCAATGCTCTATGGCGTTGAATGTTGGCCTTTAAAAGAGAAGCATAATAATAAGTTAAGTGTTGCTTAGATGAGAATGATTAGGTGGATGAGTGGTTTTACACTTAGAGACAAAATGCGGAATGAATATATTAGTGATAGGGTTGGTGTAGCTCCCGTGACAGACAAAATTAGAGAAAGTCGTCTTAGATGGTTTGGTCACATTAAACGTTGACCAGCTGATGATCCGATTAGGAGAGTAGATGTTTTAGATTCGACTTGTGTTAAGAAAGGCAGAGGTAGACCTAGGAAGACTTGGGCTTATTGTATTAAAAATGATCTTAATTTACTAGAACTAAATGAAAATATGACACTAAATAGGACGCAATGGAGAAAAAGGATTCATGTGGCCGACCCCACGTAGTGGGATTAAGGCTTTGTTGTTGTTGTTGTTGTTGTTGTTGTTGTTGTTGTTGTTGTTGTTGTTGTTGTTGTTGTTGTTGTTGTTGTTGTTGTTGTTGTTGTTGTTGTTCTTAACAAAAAGAAGTGCAAATATGCTCTTCAACAATTAACATTATCAAATAGAAAAGCTCTTAGAACCCAAGCTCTTAATCTCATCACTGGCTTCTTCTTTTCACCACTGTTCCTTGCATGACTAATGAAACGGCCAAGTTGAGGAGAAACTACTATGTCTGGTAAACCGGATGTGCGGTTGACGGCCTAGATCGCACCACTTCGGTAGACGCATGGCGTGGTGCAATTAACGCCATCGTCTACACTTCCGAATGACGGATATAATATTTTCCACAAGTTGAGGGGGTATGTTCTCTGAACCATATTCTTTCTTCTTTCCATTTTTACCTTCTCCTTGCCATCACATACTATTGTTGCCGCACCTTAGAGGGGCCGATTAGCTAGGTTAGGTTGGACGGTTCAATCCATGCCGAGTCTCTTTTGCTCCATTTCAATAGGGGTGTCAATATTTGATCCAATATAGAAATATTATTTGAATCAGTAACAAAAAAAAATTTAGTTTGGTCAACTAAGATTCAGAATAAATTTGGGTCAACTTAAAACTTTAGCATCAGAAACAAAATGGCTGGATTCTTTTATATATATATATATATATATATGTATGAGTCCGGG